TCTTACCATTCTGAGGTGCACGGTCATTTTGAAAAATTATTATCCTTATTACTATCATTACTATTTATATTAGTATTATTAATTAATTATTATTATCATTTTCTTTATTATTACTGTTATTATTACTATCATTATCCTTTCTCTATCATTTTGCGTAGTTTTGACTCAAACTTAACTTTCGTTCTCAGATGAAAAATGTAATAATAATGATGATAATAATAATGACAATAACAATAATAATAATAATAATAATAAGAAGAAGAAGAAGAAGAAGAAGAAGAAGAAGAAGAAGAAAGTTTAAAGAAACACTTAAAAGCTGAAACCAGTCTTACGGTAAATATAGAAAAAGACCACTTTACTTACCCAGTTCAGGGGATATAACATATGGAACCACGCCACCTGGCCAAAGGCGCAGACCCAGGCTCCATGGTCTTGAAGTCCGCAAGTCTTCTTCCCGCTGTTTGTTGTCACATTGGTACAAACCGTCCATACCTTTGTTGTCTTGCATAAAAAGGAAGACATTTTTTTAACCCTTTGTATTCCCTTAGTCTTTTTTTTTTCTTTTTCATTCTTTCATAATTGTAACTTGGAATTTTACATTTATAGCGTATCGAAGGGTTAAACTTGATATCCGTAAAACAGTGCTCGATACATATAGTAGAGCGAGTATAACGTGTGATATGCGGAAAAAAAATCAATCAACTACATTTCATCCCTACAGACCTGTTTCGTGGTTCTCCACTCATCAGGGGATTTTATATTTATAGCTTACCCATGAGCCAATACAAAACACCTCATCACAACAGAGTGCGTTAGTAAACCAAATTAAAAGAAATTATGAGCCCGTCTCGTTGTCAAGTGTTCTCTGTCAAACTAGAGTTTGATTGAAAATCTGTTGTTACGTGAAAACATTTACACAACCCACTCTTCTCGCAAGTACGTCTTTTGAAGGACCTTTAGCTAGATGATAAAGGTAGATATTTTAATATTGATATTAGCGAGATTGGTATTAGTATCAATATTTTATTTCAAGGCTCGTAAGAAACGTAACCACAAAACCCAAAGGAAAGTGGGAAGTCTCTTTGACCTCCTTTCATACAAAAGAATAAAGAGGGAAAGTTTCTAGAGAAACTGTAGTGCTGCGTCCAAGGGGCCTTATTAAAAGACGATTGGTTTTATGAATTGAGTTGATAACGTAGAATGGCCACCGTAAGTAACTTCTAAACCTGAAGTTTCGAGCGTGAGCCCTTCGTTAGAATTAATTAAAGGGCTAAAGCTCGAAAGCTCAGCTTCAGGAGTTGTTAAGGATAGCCAATTTATATTATAACCTCAGTTGATAAAACCAAATTATATCGTTGACAGGAATAAAAAGGCTTCTTGATCTCGTCCTAAGCCGGGAACTGTGATGAAAAATTGAAAACTGGCGTAGAGTCAACAAGCTGTGACATCCAAATTTTCTAACGAGACTTTAATTGACTGTAGAGCGAGATTTTCATTCGCCATTGCGCTCTAGATCCTATCCTCTTTAAATTTATTGTACGATGCTCAGACCATAATGTATGTTCATATTTACTTAGATGTAAACTATTTCTCCTCAGGAGTCTTGCTTCGATCTATTCGCTCTGATAATTAGAAATAAAAAAGCTGCCATATCTATTCTAAAACGTGTAGATATGTCAAAGAAGTGTAGCCAATTTGAAAACTAATATATCGATTGTTTGTGCATGGAAAGAACAAGTAAATAAGTGATGTTCTGATGTAAATCTTATTTCTCAAAACCCTTAGTTTTCTCTGAGACTGCCCCAGAGAATTTCAGGTGAGAATTCTTATCTTCAGGAATATTACCTGCCGAAAACTGGACGCAAACAACTACATAAATGGGAAAAAAATAGGAACTTCATTTTAGATGAACCTTGTACTAACACTGTTAAAGGTCAAGATCTAGATATACCTTTCATTTATTGTTTATTTTTGTTCGTTGTTCCACGCTCAATGAAGTAGGACTGTTTAAACATCGACGTATTTCATTTCATTATAGTTTATTCAATAGTCTTTGCTCAAATAAGGTAACGAGATTAAGTGAATAACATTTGCGCAAACACGCATTCATTTCCTGTATAATTTCGCAGCCATTGTTTACAGATGCTGACTTAATTTTGAGTTATTTGATCATCATCAAACACTTTATTGCTTTGTGAAATGGTAGCCATGAACATTCGCCCCAGCCAACACGTTTCGTTCGAAAAAAATTAAAAAGAGAAGGAAAGCAGTTTTATTTATCTTTATTCTCTTTCATAATGTTGAATTTAATCTTTTTTGAGTTACTTGGATTGATTACCAGTCTCTCTACCAGCACTGTAACATTACATTCATCTCATGCTGATAATAGTACGTACAATCCGACATTATTTAATAATTGAAATTTGTTTTCACTGCTCATAAAACCTTGTCGTCTTATTGGCTATTTCATCATACGGAATTGCACAAGGGAAGATTTTAAATTTTTGAGGACAGCCCTCTGCAAACCTTCGCGGAAGTTTCGCAACAACTTGAGCAGCCACATTCAGGCACTCGACAGACTGGAATTAACGATGCTTTATTCAAGAAAATGTGCAGTTTTCAAATTCCATGCGGTTCCAGTTTAAAACCTTCCTTTTTGTTTCACGATTATAGCGCTTAACCTCTTTAACTAATTCCTTATTTACCGTAACTAGCCGACGCATAGTGCAATAGATGTTGCACGTCATGAAACATTTAGCAAAAAGTAAAAATCGTCACCTGCCAGCTCGATGGCACCCGAATGAGTCTATGCACTGTTCTTCGATGAAGAGCAGCGCACGCCAATGGTTTTCCGTGGGTTAAAACTCTAGCTAATTACCTTTGACTCAAAATAGGTTGCTATGTTGACTGATAAAAAGATGGATCGGACTTCTGTGCTCCCAAATTAATATTAAGTAGTCTTAGCAAACTC